GGCGGGGCGAGGCAGCTCGAGGGGCCGCGCGCGGCTCCGCATGGCCAGCTCCCTCCTCTTTCATCCCCGGCTGCCCACGCCTGGCCGCACTCACCTGCTCACCACTAACCACCAGCACCACCTCAAAACCTGACCCCACCGTACCTCTTGCCCCAATCCCCTCCTCTCATCCCTCACCCCAAACTCTAACCCTCCAGCCACAACCCAGACCTCCAACCCCTTTCCCTAACTCTTGCTCCAGCCCTCACCGGCATCTCCAACCCTCAGCCCTAGACAACAAATGCTAGCCGTCACCCCAGCCCTCACCCCTGCCATAGCCCACTCCCCCACAAAGCTAGCCAACGCTCACAGCAAGCACCAGAAACCCGCAGCACAACCACCAAACCTCGCCCCACGCCTCACCCAACCCCTCACCCCATGCAGCCAGCTCTCGTCCCCAGCCCTGCCCTCAACACCAGCCCCCAAGCACCAACCCCAGGGAGATGCCCGAACCCCCACTGCCAGCCCCAACCCCTTCCCCAGCCGCCCTCCCCCTCGCACCAGCCCCCTACCCTGCAGCCCCGCCGCTCACCCTCACGCTCCCGCCGGGCCCCCTCGCGCCCCACCCCGGCAGGCAGAGGAAGGGCAGGACCGGGCCGTGCTGGGGCAGCTGAGCGTGGCAGGCACCGCTGCAGATGCTCTGCTCCAGCCCTGCTCCAGCAGGGGCACCTACAGCACGTTGCCCCACACCAGCACAGGCGGCTTTGCAGCACAGGTTATTGGCCTTGCCAGTTCTGCTGGCCCCCGGGGCCGTGGCCGGGCTCCCAAGTGGGCGGAAAACCACACGGACGTCGGGCAAAGAGCTGGTGAGCAGCCTGGACTGCTTCAGGCTGGAGCACGTTGTACGGTGTAGAAATTATGCCCTCCACTCCTGCAAGTAGGAGGATGTTGGCCCGTTCAGCTGGCACGGTTGGAGCTGGAAAAGGATGCCTGCCCGTTGTCTAAAAGAAAATGTTGTAAAACCTAAAACCTTTTCCCTGTGTTTTACAAAAGCAAAACAGCTAACCTCGTGTGAACTCAAGGAGCAATTTCTCTGGGAGGACTGTATGAAAACTGAGGGGTTTTTTTTGTTTGTTTTGAGGAGAAAAGCACTCTTTCTTTTCCAAACCCTTGAGTTGGTGTTCTTTGACCTTCATACGTGAGTCGATTTCAGCCTAGAAGGCTCTTTTCCCACCGGTAGGTGTTGATGTTGACAGAGGCACCGCTGTGCTTTCTAGTGTGGCATGCTAGCACCTATTCCAAGAAGTGGAACTCTCTCTGCTTATTGCGTTGTGGCCAAGCAATACATCCGCACAATGGAAGAAGGTTGAGGGCAGAAGCCTGGCTGTGACTGACCACAGGTGTTGCCAAGAAAGCTGGATGAATCTCAGCACAAAGGGCACCAAAAAAATACCAACGTATTGCGGTTGATGTTGCATCCTATGCCCCTCCTGTTAATGATCCCTGTCTTGTTATTTGTCATAACCTTGATGTAAATCTGCTGTCTCAGAAACTGGAAAGTACGTATGAATGAAACATTAGGTTAAATCACATGCTCAGCTATTGTAAATTACTGGTTTCCCAACACAGAGTACAAGAACCGAACAATCAACAAAAGGACTTTGAAGAGAGCAATAGACTTGAGCTGTTTCAAACCCACGTATCCCTTCCTGGCGGTTGAGGATGCCCAGCGCTGTGATGGTGAGCATTGTTATAAAGACCAGAAAGAGGAACCGCATTTGCGCTGTGACTCAAACTCATATTACAATTCCTATATTCTGCTAAGTGTAACTAATGTGCATTGTGATTTTGGTGTTTTGCTGCATCACTCTGCTAAATCCAAATCCCATGCAATGTCAAATATTTTCTAATAAATGAATTTGATATTAATCATTATGCCCTCCACGCGTGGACTGTGTAAGAGAACGTGATCAGAGAGTGTTGAACTCTGACACCCTGGTATTTGTGTAAGCCCTGAGGTCTGTTGGACCTTGGTGGCAGTACTGCTGTGTCTACAGTCACACTCCTGTGAGTACAGGCAGCACCAGGCAATGCGAACCACTGTATCAGAGCTGACCTCCCTACGAGGCCCACTGTAATGAAAGGGGCTCTCCTGAGTGCAATGCCAGGAGGATGGGGATGCCTCTTCCCAAGCTGGTGTCAAGAATTCACTCAATGAGTTGCACCCTAAAAGGGCCTCTTGCTTTTCTGAGGTTCTCCACGGGTTTGCGGGGATGAGCTCAAAGCCTGGTTCAGGAGTGGCCAGCCAGGCCAGCACTCAGCTGAGGAAGGGCTCTGTGGGGAGCAGGGACAAACAGGGCGAGAGCAGAGGTGCATGAGCGTGCAATGGAGGGAACGACAAACTCTCTCCTGTGTGCACGAGGCTGGGGCAGACGTTTCCGTCGTTGGGCCAGGAGGATCTGCCTGAGCAGCGCCGGGGCCAGGACTCTGGTGCTGTCCTGGGCAGGGGCTGGGCTGGGGTTGTGCTGTGAGTGCCCAGGGCTCTGCAGCCCCCTGCAGTGGGCACTGCTGTGGGGCCACCCCAACCTGGGCTGCTCTGCTGGGTGGGCTGAGGAGAGGGCAGGGGAGGTGGGAAGAGCTGGGAAGGGGCCGGGCTGGGCTTGTAAGGGGCCCAGGAGAGGAAAAACGCCAGCAGGCAGCTACCGTGTGTCAATGGGCAATGTGGGAGCAGTGTGCTTGCAGGACAAATGCAGGTCTCCTGGGAAAGGCAGCAGGACCTGGAAGGTGGAGAGGAGACGAGCCCAGGTTGCTCCCTGCATTGCATGGACACACTGGGGAAGCTGCCCCAGGGCCATTGTCCCAGAGCAGCCCCTCACATCACCCTTTTCCAGCACTGGCTGCTCCCAGCAGCTGTGGAGTTGTGTAGGCCAGCTCTGCCCTCCTGCTGGTCACCGTATCCCCGTGCAGAGGAAAAAGCCAGGCTTGCATGACCTGTCTGAGCCAGACCCCAGCAGATCCTGGAGCACGGCTGTGTACTGATCCCGGCATGGGGCATAGCCTGGGCTGGGCAGGAGCTGAGTGCTCAGACCCCCCAGACTCTGCTGGTATACCTGGGGAGTTTGAAGGCCTCAAGCAGAGCTTACCTGGGAAAGCAGCAGTACTGGGAGCAGAGGAGGAACAGGGAAATTGGGGCGAAGACCCCTGCCCTCAGCTGCACGACTGGGGTACTGGATGGCTGATGCCTCTGTGGCTGGCCAGGCTCCAGGTTCAGGGCAGATGTCAGCTTGAGGCTAGAAGTGCTGGGATTTTCATGGGCTTCCAGTGCATCCACGACTGTGGTGAAGGCCAGTGAGCAGACCCAAGCACATGCAACTGCAAAGGCCAGGGGTGGAAGAGTCCATGTGGGGCTGGTGAAGGACCTCCCTCTCCTCCGCATAGGGAAGAGACCCGGGCAACGCTGGACTCTGCTTTGGCTGGTGGGAAGGGAGCAGAGGTCAGGGTGGAAGAGGCAGATGGAGCCTCTCAGGGTGCGTGAGGGAGTTTTCCAAAGGCCAGGGCTGAGTCAGCCCCAGGGAGCTGGCCATGAGCACGGGGCAGGCTGAGCCCCTCCTCGCGGCAGCACGGGGACGGACAAACGGCCTGTGTCTGCCCGGGGGCAATGCAGGACCTTTTGCAAGGGGAAGGGTGAAGGCGATAGACAGCAGCTTTCCTAGTGGCTCAGGTTCTCTTCCAGGAGGATGGACATTTGTCAGTGGCACTGTCACCTATGAGAAAGCCCTGGGCAGGAATCCCAGAGACCATTCGCCATCTCTGCTGGCACTGGTCATCAAGGAAAGAGCCCTGGATGCAGCCTGTGGTCCCTAACAGATCACACTGGGACTCTGAGCTTGTCCCCCAGAGCCCACAGAGTTCCCAGGCAGAACAGCGGGCCCTTTTGTGCTGCAATCCCTTGGGCATATTTGTGATTCCAGCTTCTGAAGAAAGGCCAGACTTCAGGCACGTCACAGAGGAGATCCCTTTTTATTATAGGAACGTTATTCTGGAGGTTGGCTCTGGCATAAGAGGGCCCATTGCCTGGGCCTGCCTGAACTTACAGCACATATACACGTGGAAAGGCAACCCTACCACTACCAGCTTTTGAGAACTACTCTACTGCCCCTCCGCTTGCTGTTTTGGAGCACTGGAGAGGAAGGGATCAGCCCAAGCTGACAGCTGGCTGCCACCCTGGCGGGAGAGGGATGTGAGAGCACACCCTGACTGTAGCCAGGGGAGCAGAGCTCTCCTAAAGGACATGGAGCCCATGGTGTCCCCTCATCTTTACTCATCTGAGCCTGACTCTGTCCCCTGACCATCCTTGGTGTCAGTGCAGAAGAGTCACTGCAAACGGAAACTCTCGTCATTGCACTGAAGGCATCTGAGGGAGCTTAGGCTAGTGGGCTCTGAGGTTCCCCCCTCTCTGATGATGAAGAGGGAAGCCTGGCTCTCTGGGTCAGATTCAAATGAGAGATTCCTGAGGAGAAGTGGCACGAACCAAACCTTTTCTTCTTTTTGCAAGAATATAACAGAAGAAAATAAAGAAAGAAGTGAACAACACGTAGTCTTCATGTCAGCTACCCTAGGAATGAGGAGTAGGTGCACTGGGATGGTTATTGGTGCTGACATTGGACCCATTGAACCAGTTTCCTCAGGGCATCCTTGAGCTCCTTGTTCCTCATGCTGTAGATGAGCGGGTTCAGAGTTGGGGGCACCACCGCATACAGAACGGCCACCATCAGGTCCAGGGATGGGGAGGAGATGGAGGGAGGCTTCAGGTAGGCAAATATGAGAGTGCTAACAAACAGGGAGACCACGGCCAGGTGAGGGAGGCACATGGAGAAGGCTTTGTGCCGGCCCTGCTCGGAGGGCATCCTCTGCACGGCAGTGAAGATCTGCACGTAGGACAGCACAATGAAAATGAAACACCCAAAGAATAAAGAAAGACTAACCACAACCACCCCGGTTTCCCTGAGGAAGGAGTGTGAGCAGGAGAGCTTGAAGATCTGGGCGATTTCACAGAAGAACTGCTCCACGACATTGCCTTGGCAGAGTGGTATGGAAAAAGTATTTGCAGTGTGCATCACAGCATTGAGAAAACCACTGCCCCAGGCAGCTGCTGCCATTTTGACACAAGCTCTGCTGCCCATGACAGTCCCGTAGTGCAGGGGTCTGCAGATGGCAACAAAGCGGTCGTAGGCCATGACAGTGAGGAGAGAATACTCTGCTGACAACAGGAAGAGAAGCAGAAAGACCTGGGCAGCACATCCCGAGTAGGAAATGGCCCTGGTGTCCCAGAGGGAATTGGCCATGGATTTGGGGACAGTGACGGAGATGGAGCCCAGGTCGAGGAGGGCGAGGTTGAGGAGGAAGAAGTACATGGGGGTGTGGAGGCGGTGGTCACAGGCTACGGCTGTGATGATGAGGCCGTTGCCCAGGAGAGCAGCCAGGTAGACGCCCAGGAAGAGCATGAAGTACAAGAGCTGCAGCTCCCGCGTGTCTGTGAACGCCAGGAGGAGGAACTCGTTGAGGGAGCTGCTGTTGCACATTTGATGCCTCTGGGCTGTGGGGACTGTCCAAGGAGGAAAAGACATGGAGAAGTTAGGAAGACTTTTCAAGCAAAAAAAAAAAAACCCTGAATGTTCCAGTTCTCATACTACCCCCCGTATTGAATTCCCCATATTGCCTCTCTCTTTACTGAGAGGATCCTTGTGCAGCCTCTGCCCATGGGCTGCAGAAGAGTCAGTCCTGTTCTACAGTGGTGGGAAGGAGGGAGTGGGGTTGACTAGCTCTGACATACAGAATTTCTGTTGGGTGAAATCCACTGCTCATGCGGAAGGGCTTTCCAGCATCTTCACCACCCGTTCTAAAGAATGAGGTTTGAGGAACAGAGTGGTGGGGATTTTTTAATAGTGTGTATTTTCTTTAAGATGTCCTTGCTACCCCTGGGGAGTGTTCCTCAAAGGTCAAACTCCTCAGCATTTCTAGTGTGAGCCCGGAGAGGAAAGGATTCACTGTCACCTGGGGCAGAGTGAGGACAGCTAGTCTGTCTATTAGCCTTGGTCCCAGGTCTCCTGTGCTTGCACCGCTTTGAGCTGGAGGATGATCACACTCATCTGTTGCCCTAAAAAGAAACCAAGCACTGCTGAGAGGAGTCCAGCTTCAAAGGGCAGATCTCCAACCTTCTCTCCCTTCCTCAGGGCACCAGAGCAAGGTCTCCACACTCCCCTTCTAGCCAGGGACACACAGGGCTCTCTTCAGCTGCCCATATACAGCCTCCCACCACCGTTTCCATAGTCTTAGCATCTCCTCACCTTCTTCACGGGTCTCCCAGGTATCACAGAGATGCTATGAGACAGTGGTGCCCTTCTGGAGGGCAGCCCAAAGCCTGGCAAGACACCACAGGGCTGAAGACTCCTTAAGGGAGAGTCTGCTCATTTCCCAACCCCACGGACAGCATTTCCTGCAGTCCCACAGGTCAGAAAGGGGCTGGGGCAACCTTACTCCCACGCAGACCCCTCTGTTGCACAACTCGCAGGGCAAATGTCTGAACTGCTGCTAACCCCCCCCCCAACCCCAGACAGCCCAAAAGCAAGAGCAGGAGCAGCGTGGGCAGGAGGTGAAACATGGAGCAACTGCTGCCAAGGGAGGCAAGGAGAGGACAGACGGGCACTTGGGAAAGCCTTCACCGTACCCAGCTTTGCGTGCTGCCTCGCAGATAATGACATCGCTCTCAGCCCCTTTGTTGGGAAGCATGAGAAGGGCCCATGGCAGGGGAGATGTCCCTCTCTGTCTGGTTGCAGAGGAAGCGGCTCATGCTCTGGACTCCGTGGCTGTCAGGGCAGAGGCTCTGCTGGCGGAGAAAGGAGACACAGGGGGCTTGCTCAGAGGAAAGTGTCTGCATCCGAGGGACTGACCACGACTTGCCCAAATCCATCCTCCCATGACAATTCTGTTAGCAGTTGCCTCTCGTTCCCTGCCCATCTCGGCTGCCTGGAGCTGTCCCTGCAGGCAGCTGTTTCTCTGTCCCAATGTCTTTCCCTGGTCACTGCTCCCAGGCGCCATCCCACCCTCTGTGTGCTCAGTTCTGCCCTACAGAAACCTCCTGGCTCAGGGCACTGGCCAGGGGCATCTCTGTGCTTGCAGGTCCAAGGAGCAGGTCCTGTAATCCTCAATGAGGCCACAAAGGTGCTGTCTGTCAGCTGAGGGACAGCTGAGGGACAGCTGAGACCCTGTGCAGACCAGCACGCACACTCTGGCTTCACCCCACCCTGCAACCGTTCCCTGAAGAAGGGAGCCGCGATGCCCTGTCCCTCTGATGACGTGCAGGGAATCCCTGCTCCAAAGCACCAGCTGCTCCGTGCAAGAGAAACTGGCTGAGCTGTCCTGACAGCTCCTTTCAGCTGTGGGATGTGCTAGCTTTGGAAGACCCTTCCAGGAACCTCAGCTGCGTTGTCCTGCTGCCAGAGACTTACGGTGTTAAGAGCTATGAAGGTTTCTCCTGCAATGAGCTCTCCTCTGTCGTCCCGCCCAGGACTGACTTTAACATCTCCCGCTTGTATCATCTACTCTTTGCACCCACAGGCAGCGTCTGGAGCCGTGGTGCACTTTGCAGAGGAGCTGCTCCTGTGCAGAGCCTTCTCTCTGCATCACCTGCTTGGTTTCCATGAGCTCCCTCGGTCCCAGGAGCCTGGCCCAGCTCAGGAGCAGAGGCTCAGCTGAAGGCGTGACGTTCTTTGTCCCTTGTGTACCCTCGAGATGTCCCTGCAGCAGCAGTGCTGACAGCTCCTGAAAGGCAGCAGGGTCACCCCAGTGCGCCTGCTTTGAAGTAGACTAAAATAATCACCCGCGTTGCCTCTCTAAGCTCAGAGAGACCGTTTCCATCAGTGTGTTTTCTCCTATCAGTCCATGGGTGCCTAAGAGAAATCTGTTTCCTTCCCGTTATTAGAGAGGACACCTAGACAGCCACAGGGATTCCTTTACCCTGCTTAGGGTGGTGATTCAGAGGAATCACAGTCTAGACGTCTAAGCCTGGCCCAGAGTGGAGGGGGATTCAACTCACTCTCATGCGCACCATGACACTGAAGGAAGTGGGATTCCTCTTGCCGAACTGTGGGTGTGAATAAAATAAGTGTCTGCATGCGAGTATCTCATGTAAGCTTCCCCTACCATCAGTGGAGAGGACAAGATTCAGTTGGTCACCCAGAAACTGCCAGAGACATCTAAGGTGCCAGAGGTGGTCCGGGATGTCTAGTCCCTGCAAGCTCTGATGGAGCGCTGCTGAGGCACCCACGTCCTTGCGGAGCATCAGCGGGGGGGATTCCCTTGGCCACCTGACATGACACCAGGTGCCCACATTTTGGATAGTTAAGCCCATTCCTGGTGAGTAAGTTCAGAGCTACTCCGCTGACCAAAGAGCGGTGTGTATCATCAGGAGAGCCAGGTCTTTCTCTCAGCTCCATCAACTGCATTTACTATTTCTCCTTTCATTTCTCCTTCTTTTTTCTCCTGTGAAGTTTTGACTCATGTAAGTCCGTACACTGCTGACGCACAGCATAATTCAGTGCAGGTACTCAGTTCAGTGGTCTAAAAAGGGGCCTTAGTGGCCATGTCCCGTACCTGGTGTGCCCAGCACAACTGCGTGAGGCTGGCAGGACGAGCAGAGGACCTACAGCAAGGCCGTGCCCTTTGGGATGGTGCTGGACAGACACCCCAGGGATCTCAGACAGCTTCAGGGCCTTGGGGCACCAACTGAATCCCATCACTGCATGTAGGCAAGGTCCAGCGCATCTGCATCCAGGGCCGCTACGGGCAGGAGAGGCACATCACCCAGGGCCTGTGGTGGAGGGTATTTGCTTTTGGAGATTGGGAGGGCTGGGGGACTAAGCGGTTTTTGGGGGGGATTGGCAGAGATTTTTAATGCACTTTTTGTGCTTTATTTAAGCCGGGATTTAGATGTTTAAGGAGGGATTTGGATGTTCAGAGAAGGATTTGGAGTTGGTTGGGGACCTGCATTTTGGGTGGGGGGATTTAGTGGGTTGGGAGGCTGATGCTGTGGGGAGGGTTGGTAATTTTTGAGTTGGGTGTTTCTTTGGTGGGCTTTTCGCCTTTTTCTTTTGGCCTTCTTGGCACTGTTTTGCAGCCTATTCTTTGGACTTTTTCTGCAGGTATTTCGTTCGCTGTTTCCCTCTATTTTCCACCTTTTTTCATTTGGCACCAACTTTTGCAGTGGTGGTGCACCAGCTTCTGCAACTTTTGCATTCACCATTTTCCTCCATTTGCTGCCCTTTTCCTTCACTTTTTTGCATTTTCTATTTCTTTTTTGCTGCACTGCTTGAATTTTCCAGCTATTCCACCTTTTTGGTATCTTTGTTTGCTGCCATTTACATCACTTTGCATTTTCTGCTATTTTCTGCCATTTTTCCTTTTTCCCATTGCTTGCTGTTTTCCACCCATTTTGAGGCTTTTTTCCATATTGTCTTTACCATTATGTATTAACTCAATCATTTTCTCCTTTTCTGCCATTTTTTTGTTTTCATTTTATGATTTTTTGTGACTTCTGTCATTTTCTGCCATTGTTACTTTTCTATCATTATTGCATTTGCCACCATTTAAGAGTTTTCAGTTTCTAGGGTTTTTTTTTTCATTTTTCCACCATTTTCCACAGTTTTCTGCTATTCCATTTTCCATTTCTTACTTTTTTGCACAGTAAGAGTTTCCAGTTTTATATCTTTTTTGAATCTTCTACTCTTTATCTGCCTTTTTTGCTTGGTTTTGTATTCCACCATTTTCTCAAGGTTTTGAATTTTGTCCTGTTTTTTTCAGTTTCCACCGTTTTCCACATTTTTGGCATTTTCTGCTCCTTTTGCATTTTCCACTGCTTTCCAAAATTTACCACTCTTTCCTGTTGTTTTCCACCATTCTGGGCATGCTCTGACATTTCTAAGCATAATTTCCCCACATTTCTTGCTTTTTCATATTTTACTGCTATTTACTTTTTTCTGCCATTTAAAGTGTTTTCTTTTTTCCATTCTGTTTGCGTTCTCCGCCATTCTTTCAGAGTTTTCTGCATTTCTTTTGTTTTCTGTTGCTTCTTAGGGTTCCTGTAGTTTCAAGTGTTTTCCTTGTTTAGCCCTTTTTGTATATCATGCCTTTGTTTTCCTGAGCTGTTAGTTATTTGGTTTCTGCTCTTTTCTGCATTTGCTGGTTTTTGCCTTTTCAGATATGTTTCTACCATTACCTGACTTGCTGGCGTTTTCTGCTGTGTCCACTGTTCTCTGCTGTTCTCCATCCCTTTCCACCATTTTTGCCGTCTTTTGCCTCTTTTTTCCCTTCTTACCTTTTTTGTATTTTCCCCACCTTTTTGCATACCTCTGTAAAAGAAGTGACCTCACCATCAGCCCCGCAAGTGTGTCACCTTTGCCTCCCTCTCCACCTCATCTCTTCCGAGTCCTCGTCTCTTCTGGACCCCTCGTTTAATAACCCAGCCATGTCCCCTTTACCAGCAGCTCCTTCTCCCCTCTTGCCATGGGATTACGCACGTGTGACA